GCAGCCGGGGCACGCGCTCGTCCCCGTCCCCACTCACACAAGCCCTTGGAGACCTGGGACAGCCTCCGCGGCGGCAGCGCAGGCATCCGCGGCTTGATGAGGTCCTCCACGGTGACGGCCGCCATGGCGTTGATGCTGGTGGAGGCCGTGCTGGGACAAGGGCACAGGGCCGCGCTCAGCCCCGCGGCGGCACCGCGCGCCCCTTCCCCGTGGCCAGAGCCTCCCTCACCTGAGGGTCCCGCTGTAGGCGCAGGCCAGGAAGAGCCCTGGCACCCCCGGGTACGACTCGAAGATGTCCAGGACCAGGTAGGGCATGTACTGAGCGGGGAGAGGGCTGCATCAGGGGTGACAGCAGGGTCCCTGCCCTGGCTCGGGGCCCCCAGGGCTCCCCGGCAGAGCTCGGCCCTTCCTGCGTCACGGCTGAGACGAGGGCCCAGGTGTCCTGCCTCTCCGTTCCCCCTCCTGCCCCGCTGCCCTCGATTGGGCGCTCGAGAGGGCAGCTCGCGGCTGCCGGTGGTACCTGGTCCGGGGCTGAGATGTAGCCAGCGAGCAAGGGGTCGCAGTCCTTGTACAGCGCAAACATCACAAGGCCACAGGCCACCGCGCTGGAGACGATGACGGAGAGCCCCACTTGATTGACCAGCAGCGCTCTGCAAGCACAGTGAGAGCCAGCCCGGTGCAGCCCGCCCAGAGCCCGGCACGGGGCACGGAGACATCCCAGTCCAGGGGCCTCGGGGGATCTTGTCCCTTCCCTGGGCCCTGACCAGCATGGCAGGGTGCCAGGGGGACACGTTGTGGCTGCAGGGTCCGGTGCAGGGTCCGTGCAGAGGGTGCAGGTTCCATGCAGGGGGGTGCAGGATCCATGCAGGGAGTGCTGGGTCCATGCCAGGATTGCAGGGGCTGTGCGGGGGTACAGATCTCATGCAGCGGTGCAGGGTCCATGCAGAGGGTGCAGGTTCCATGCAGGGGGGTGCAGGATCCATGCAGGGAGAGCTGGATTCATGCAGGGGGTGCAGGATCCATGGAGAGGGTGCAGGATCCATGCAGAGGCTGCAGGTTCCATGCAGGGGATACAGGATCCATGCGAGGGGGGTGCAGGATCCATGCAGGGAGAGCTGGATTCATGTAGGGGGTGCAGGATCCATGTGGGGCAGATGCAGGTTCCATGCAGGGAGAGCTGGGTTCATGCAGGGGATGCAGGATCCATGCAGGGGAGTGCAGGTTCCATGCAGGGAGAGCTGGGTTCATGCAGAGGGTGCAGGTTCCATGCAAGAGAGTGCAGGTTCCATGCAGGGAGAGCTGGGTTCATGCAGGGG